GCAATACATGAGACAATGGTAAAGGTATGTAAATAGATATTTTCTTTTATTATTATTTTGGTTTTCGAGTTTTGAGCTTGTCTTTCTGTATCCTTTTGTGTGTGTTGGGGGAGGAGGATAGTTTTGGAGTTGAAAGGAAGTAAAACGTAGGCTCTTTGTGTAACTTTTTTTGCATCTATTTTCTTATGTATAACAAGAACATCGTTTATTAGGGTGTTCTAAACTGCAACCAATAGTTTCTTTTCCTTCCTCTTTTTGTATATTAATGATTGATTTGGATAATAATCATAGTCTTCAACTTAGATGTAATTCGTTATGCAACAGGTCAGTGCATATCTTCTTGGAGAATTTGGTCATCTTTTGGCCCGTAGACCAGGTTATAGTGCAAAGGAGTTATTTAGAATAATACATGAAAAGCTTCCAACTGTTTCGTAAGTGGTCCTAAGAGTACTTTAAGTATTCCTTTAGCAAGCTATTACTTTCTGTTTAAAGAATCTACTTTCTTTGCAGTACATCTACCATTCCTATTCTTCTGTCAACATATGCTAAAATCTTAATGCACACTCAACCCCCAGATCAGGAACTGCAAAATCAAATTTGGGGAATATTTATCAAGTGAGACTTACAGACTCTTTAAATTGAAGCTCCTGTTTATTAGCACTTGCAGTAAATTTAAATTCTCTAATAGAAATTTGTTTTCCTTAGATACAAGAGTTGCATTGATGTTGAGGTGCAACAACGTGCTGTCGAATATTTAGCCCTGAGCAAGAAAGGTGCAGCTCTAATGGACATATTGGCCGAAATGCCAAAGTTCCCTGAGAGACAGGTGCATATTCTTTCTTTGAAGTGTCTGATTAGATGCAGTTTTCTGTGATGGATTATGATGAGTACGCAGCAATGTTTATTCAGCTGAAGGTTGTTAATATTATCTCTAATGTTTCCATCTTCAGTCGGCTTTGATCAAGAAGGCTGAGGACACTGAAGCTGACACTGCAGAACAAAGTGCCATCAAGTTGCGAGCTCAACAACAATCATCAAATGTGTTGGTCTTATCTGATCAGCGTCCTGTTAATGAAACTCCCTCTTCCAGCCAATTAACTCTGGTGAAGATGCCAAACATTGGCAGTTATACGGTTTGTTTCTTTCTATTCTTTTTAAAGTTTTCAGAACATCATTATTGCATTCTTTTCAATGCTTGAACCTATTAATGGATTGCTTCTTGATATGGTCTAGACGGGAATTTACTTCATTTTCAAACCCAATGGCAGGATTCAACTGACCAAGAAGTATCCCATACCAATGGGACTCTAAACAAAGTAGACTCTAGCCCCCCTGCACCTGATCTCCTCGGAGATCTCTTGGGTCCACTAGCTATTGAAGGTCCTACGAGTGTTACTGCCCAGGCTCCCCAAAATATAATGTCCGACATGGATGGTGTTGCAAATGCAGTTGACGGTGGAGCTATTGTTCCAGTTGGAGAACAGACAAATTCGGTTCAGGTACTATTTATCATCTAATGGAGAAACAAACTCCAGGCCAAAAAAAATCGGTGAAATATTTTTTGTTTTATTTGATAGAAACTAAGGTATGTATTTATCGAAATTATACAAAAGAGGGAAAGACTTGGGAGACTATGGAAAATTCTTATCAATAAAGAAAAGTAAACGCGATAAACTTTTCAATGGTATTCTGAGATGATGCCAGAATATTTATGTTTCCATTTCTTTACATTGCTGTTGTATCTGCTATCATTATCTGTTGAATTATTATTATTAGAATGGTTTGATTCTTACTGCTTTAGTCGATACCATTTGTAATACTTGCAGCTGTTAAAGATATTTGACTGGGTTGATTGCATGTCAGCTGCTATGTTGTTGATTGCTCGATGGTGTGGTTATTTATATTTATATCTTATATTTTTGCAGCCGATCGGAAATATTGCTGAAAGGTTCCATGCCTTGTGCATGAAAGATAGTGGTGTGCTGTACGAAGATCCCTATATTCAGGTATCTTGCCCCTGTACTTTCATCGCATCTTTTTTGTAATTCAGTTTTCATTCTTTAGAAGAAACCTGGTGGGTCCTGTTGAAAAACTGTTTATAAAAATTGTACTTTTATTTTTAAAAATTATTTTATAGTAAGTTCCCGTCTTTTTCTTAATTTGTGAATGGTTGAAGAACATCCTTAACATTCACGCGTGACTTCATTGCAATTCTTTAAATATTATATTTTCCAAGTTGTTTTGGAGAACAAACTGTCAAATACATGTTTCTGGTTTCTCTCAGCTTTATTTACTTGTTTTAAAGCTTGAGACTTGCAACCCTCGTAATGATTCTCATTATACTTGCGACAGATTGGCATTAAAGCAGAGTGGCGAGCTCACCTGGGACGGCTTGTTCTCTTTCTTGGAAACAAGAGTGTTTCTCCCCTCGCCTTTGTCAAGGCTATTATATTGCCTCCTTCGAATTTAAAGATGGAGTTGTCGTTAGTACCTGATACTATTCCTCCCCGTGCACAGGTAAAACAAGCAGCTGAGTTTATATTTGCTTGTGGTTATTGAGAGGCCCTTACCGCTCTTCACCTTTCATCAGTTTTTTCTTTGATTGGATAGGTACAATGCCCACTTGAAGTCGTTAATGTACATCCAAGCAGAGAGGTGGCTGTCCTTGATTTCTCTTACAAGTTCGGGAATGACCTGGTAAATTTTCCTTTTTTGCCTATTCGGGATTTTCCTTCTAAATGGCTGCAACAGCCCAGAATAACTCATGTATGTATTATTCTTTGTAGGTAAATGTGAAGCTTCGCCTTCCAGCTGTCTTCAATAAATTTCTCCAGCCTATATCTGTATCTGCAGAGGAGTTTTTCCCTCAGTGGAGGTCACTCTCAGGGCCCCCATTGAAGCTTCAAGAAGTGGTGAGCCTTTTATATTTTTTATATTTAAATATTAGAAAATTTGCCAAACCAATGAAAAAAATTGTTGAGTCGATGGGTAATTAGCCACTTTTTTTCGGTCCTGACAAAAATTTCTTTGAAGGACACCACGAGGACTTTGTGGAGAGTTGAAACATAAATACCAGTTTAACTCAAATTCTCTACCTTCTCTGATTTTATTTGGCACGTGCAAATTCTTTAATGTCTATATGCCCCATTACTTGTACTTGAATCCACATTATGCCTTTACCTACTTGTCAACATGAACCGGATGAATTCTTACGTTAGGTCTTTGGAACATTGGAATGTCCCTTTAAGATAGTACTAAATTGTTAAATGAACTGGAAAATACTTCTCTAGTTGACTCGAACAGTAAAAAGCTTCCTGCAGATACAATTTCTGAGTGAGCTCCAAGAAGAAAAGAAAAAAGCAATAGTTTTTGTGGAGCCTCCACCTCGCTTTCCTCTTCCGTCATTTTTGTTTTTCTCTCTATCACACGTTCCACAAATGGTTTATACCATCTAGGAAGAAGAAAGCCAAAAGAGTAATACCTTACATTGTTAAATAAAAATGGTTCTGGCATTTTTGCACAACGTACTAAACCATATAACTAATATTTTTCGTTTCTTATTGCCATTTACTGTGCAGGTCAGAGGTGTAAAACCCCTTATGCTTTTAGAGATGGCAAATTTATTCAACAGTCTAAGGTTGATGGTTTGTCCAGGACTTGTAAGTAGTCGCCATTTTTTTAGAGTCATGCTTTTAGTTTGTACAAAATTCACCTTTTTCTTTTCCACCGGTTGTTTAGGACCCAAATCCAAATAATCTTGTTGCGAGCACAACATTCTACTCGGAAAGTACACAAGCTATGCTATGCCTTGTAAGGAATACTTCTCCAATCTTAAATTGTTGCTATTTTCATGGGTTAAGTTTCTCATCCAAGCACACGCACACCAGCGCCCATAATCACTTCCACTACGATTATTATAATTACTTTCATCTTACATCGAAGATCATGTTTTTTTGCTGTGCTATGCCTAAAGGGACGTGTCTGGCATCTCTTTCTGCAGTTTCGCTCATTATGTTTGAAAAATTAGGCTCACTTATATGGAAAGTTATTACCCGAACCCGGTTCTAATGATCCGCTTTATTCGATATTCAGGTTAGAATTGAAACTGATCCAGCAGACAGAACCCAATTACGAATGACAGTTGCCTCAGGGGATCCTACAGTGACTTTTGAGTACGTGCTTTAGCCTGCTGTTGCTCTCTTTTAGCTCTCAAGTTGTGCTACAGCCATATCTGAGTTCTTTATGTACAGGTTGAAGGAGTTTATCAAGGAACAGTTAATAAGTATACCCGCACCTCATCCAACAACTCCACCATCAGCAGCACCACCAGTAGGTCATCCTACTGTTGCTACACCAGCATTGACAGATCCTGGGGCAATGCTAGCAGGTTTGCTCTAGGACAAGACGATTCATCAGGAGATTTCATTCAGTATACATTTGTAAACATGATTATACAGCTGGGTCTACCCTTATTTCGGGGATACAAAGGCGAGTGAGGGACACCATGATGCGAGAGCTTGCGGAGTTTTAGCGTGGTCGGCACTGCATTTAAGTTAATCATGGGGTTGGTCAGAGTTCTTGAGATTTTTTTTGTTCGAGAAGTAAAGGTGAGATTTTTTTTTTCTTTTCTTTTTTTTTTTTTTTGGTTTTAGGTTTAGGTTGGGGAGTTGGTGAGGGCTTTGTTCTACTACAGTTTCCTCCCAGTTCTTCATGGGGTGATTTCTATAGTGTATTATTTGACGTGTAAGATATTGCATTTAGGATTCAATTATATCCATCTACAGTTTCAAACTAAACACGTTCAAAAATTTGCCCCTTCGGAAAAAATTCAATTTCAAAACATGTGTTGATCATCCAATTTCGCGATTGTTTAATTCAGTGAAGCATTAAACAGATTGAAGCACGGCAAGGTTATCAACCATTGTGAAACGAGGTTTAGAGGAATCATCATCACATAAAATTATTGGTAAAAGAGGTGAAAGATTGAATAGAGGCTGCACTTAAGAATGAAAGCTTTTGGCATTAGCAATCCTTGAATTTGAAAGTGACAGCGGTCGGCCATCACAATTTGTACAGGCAATTCAATCAGATAAAGCACATAAAATCGTGCTTATCTCACCAGATAAATAATAAGCTGATTCAGGTATTCCAAAAAAATTAGCCGAGGAAGAAAATTGGTTAGATAACTAAAAGACATGGGAAATTTGAAAAATGGGACATAGAACTGGTAGAGAATGTTAAAGCTCAACGTCAAGCCATGTAACCGTCATCTGTCAACACAAAACTTCCATGAACAGCCTCGGCATGGCAGCCAGCGTACTGGAGAATCTTCAACAGTCTGGCTCAACAAGAATAGGTCCTAAGTATTTACGTTGATTTACAAGCATTGCTTCTTTGTTGTTAGATAGCTTGTTCGATTGGCAGCTACTTGCCCGATGGAACCCCAGAACCAGAAGCGACAAAACAACACAAAAAACTCTAAAGATGACGAACTAGTTACTGCCACTCCCGGCAACGGCCACAAGACCATTTCTCCTCAATAGTCAATGCATTGTCCCAGGGCGAACAATGACCGTGTATTTGTAGTCCACATACTTGGCAAAGGAGATTGGGGACCGGGTCTGAATTTGTACAGATTTGACAGTTCACAGTAGGTATAGGTACCATGGGTTCTTGTTTCTCATTAGAACCGTGATTGAGGATATCAGGATCTACAATTGAAAAGGAATTGCCCATAACTGCTGAGGCATCTCGAGATGGATCTATTCCTCCAAACTCTGCACCACCGTTGGGTGCTAGTAATTCTGTAAAAGAGAAGTAGGTCTGAGGTTCAAAATCCATGTCCTCAAAATTAAGACTGTCCAAGTCCAACGCTGCCGCCTCGTCCGGACCATGAGCAGCATTGTCCCATTTCGAGAAGGTTGAAAATTTCTCTATTGGCTTCAAGAGTGCGTCATGCGGTAGAAAATGGGGTAAAGAACTCTCGGAAAAACCATCGACATCATCTTCCTGTTTTGCCTGCCTCCTAACAGGTAGCTTTTGTGGTGCTGGCTGTCCAGATGCTCCTGGGTTCCAGTCATCTAATCCAGAATTGGGTTCAGTAATTAGATCAACTCTTGAAAGAGAGAAAATGGAAGGATCTTCTTCCTCGGTCAACAAAGAACTACTCGTCTCAAGCTTCTTAAAAATGGTCAAATCATCACAGACCACTCCTGAATTTTCCTGCTTCGACAACTTTGCACGTGTTTTCTTGCCCGCCTCTTGTTTCTCAGGTTTCAAATACATGTAAGGACAATCGGGTGATTTAATCCGACGACACCTACAACACTTGTAGCCCACCACATCAAAGATTTTTGATTCATCAAGTGCAACAGCTTCTGCGTGGTACCAATCTGAAAGTATCCGCAAAATATATGAGGAAATGAGACAATTTTATTTAGAGGGGTCAAACGATGGCAAGGCACCAAATCATAAAAAGAAAACTTACTTCTACAAGTCTCGCAGCAGATGTACATTAAATCGGACCTATAAGGCTTGCTACATAAGTGGCATACGGGTTCCACATGATGCAATTCCTGGCCGCCCTTTAAAAGAAGATAATTGTGCCTGAAATCAGCACCCGTGTCTTCACCGCTCTTCTTCTTCCATATAATACCCCAGGAAGAATTCCTCAGCCGGCTCCGAAGAGCCGAACTAGATACAGGAGTAGCTTGTTTCTTCGCAGATAGAGTGTCCAGCTTGTGTGAAGTGGCTGATGGCTGATTGGAGCCTTTAGGCCTTACACTCTTGCATGCAGTTGACGAACTCCGATGTTCTATGCCTTGCAAGGGTAATGGACTGGTTGGTGATTCAGTACTGTTTCCACTATGATTAAGAGATTTGAGATGGCAACACAGCTTGCATGTGATTGGGCATGCAACATCCTTGGTGGCAGAAATTGTTAATCTCACGGTACAATTGACGTGGCAATAGCCTGATCAAGGTAATAATAAGTATATTAGCTCTAGATTTATTTGTATTTCGAGCAAGCAAAAACTATCGGAACAAGTTGGAATGAAACTAGCAAAAACTATCGGGACAAGTTGGAATGAAACTAGCAAAAACTATCGGGACAAGTTGGAATGAAACTAGCAAAAACTATCGGGACAAGTTGGAATGAAACTAGCAAAAACTATCGGTACAATTTACGTGGCAATAGCCTGATCAAGGAAAGAGATAAAATTAGAAAATTACTGGAACCAAGTAAACCCAATTTGGAGCTGTCGATATAAATTTAACCTTAATGAAGCCACTAATTCATAACTTAAAATGAACATTCTAACAGATTTTGGTGGTATTTTGGCATTACCCATGATCAAATAGATGTCAATTATAACTTAAGAGAAAAATCATCCAGGAAAGTAGATGATACCTCGGCAAGAGCTGCAGTTCACTGCATTCCTGCAGATTTACAAGGAAAAATTTGTCAACTATAAAGCAAGTCGGTACAGGTTCTAATATTAAATTCAGTAGAGGTGTATATACTTTACCTAATAAGAACTTCCATTTGACACGATGAACATGATAACAAGCCCATATTGTCTCGTCTACATGTGAGATAGAAAAATATCTCTCTCTGGTAGGATTTCACCACCCTTCTTCGTGATTGGTATCGAAGATTTTGGTATACCTCGGGTGATGACAAATTAACTTGAAAAGAACCTTCCCCGTGCTCTTTGACCAGGTATAAAGGGATGCAATTTTCCGAAAACCAATATGCAACTCTTCCATCTTGCTTCTGTTCTATTTCAATGACGTTCTTCATAACACGAGAAGGAAGATGTTTTTGACTCCCAAATGCAACTCCATACGTAATCTTATTTTCCACAACTCTCTTGTCACTAATACTAGCATTTCGGAAGACAGAAGCTTCAATATCTTGACCTTTCATGTCCTGAGGGGTTTGTTCCGGACGAACTAGATCATTCCATCTCAAATGAAAGTCCAGGATCCTCACCTAATACAAATTCAAATTTCCAAGAGTTAGTTAGTATAAACTTCTTTTATTCCTTACGGAAAAGATTAAGGAACACAAATTTTAAAATTATCAAGTCTATACAATTAAAATATGAAAATGCAAAACAAGAACATTTGATTAGAAAATGGGTAACGATAACTAACCTGAAGAGCAAGTTGTGATACATTCTTACTCGCTTCAACAGCAGCTCTCCACACAAGCTGTCTGCTCCTTCTAGGAATCTTGGAACCATCAGTGTAATATATACTAGAAATCTTCTTTGAGCCACCTAATGGATAAAAAAAAAAAAGTAAAAAATTTACCGGCCTCACATTTTTTCATATAGACTTGAGCAAGCAAAAGGATCTACTGGTCTCATATACATTAATGAAAAATGAAGTTGTTATTCATTACCTTGGCGAGCTGCTTTAGCAACAACAAATCGAGGCAATGCTGCTCTCTGGAATATGAGTTTTGATAGCCCTCCTCGAAACCATAAAAAATTGGCATCACGACGATCATGAGAAGGAACTTCAGATACAGACTGTTTACTACCTCTCCTCCCAGGTCCACGTTTGCGAACTGTTGAACCAACAGTACTCGGAACATTTTGAATCTTAGAAGTTTCTAAAAACCAATCATCTACCGGCTTAAACCAGTTACCAGAAAGAGCAATACTGGGAATGTTTTCTTCAAGCTGCAGATTGATTTGAGTCCATCAATAAGGAAAAAGAATAATATATTTCAGATTTTTGTAAAATTCATCAATAGCACATGGGTCAGTGGGCAGACCGATATGTACGAGGAAAGTGCAATGTCACCCTCCTCCAGCAAAATAAAAAAATAAGAAAACTAATGTTCAAACAAAGAAAAATGCTGGATGAAAAAACATACCACTCTCTATCTCTCTAATTAAAAGGCATGTTGACTCTCTCCCACCCAAGTACACATCTTGCAGTGGGGCATCACACCCAATAAAAGATGAAAATAATTAAACTACTAAGAGAACAATAGGCTAAGAAACATCAGAACTTACTTCAAGCAAGAGAAATTTGATTAAACTGCAACTTGAAGCTGATTCTAATTGATGACGCCATTTTTTTCTATAACTTGCATACGAGAATGGACCACCAACAAGACCCCTTAAACTTTCCTCCATATACAGGATGTACACTGCTATGCAAGATAGATTTCCTTCTCCATTCTTCCCAAGGCAGAGGCTAGAAAGGATTTTCATAGCACTTCTGGTAGCAGTCAATGAAGCATGATTCAACAAACATTTCTTGCTTAAGACAGAGGCTCTGCATGACAGACACCAACCGCACCTCTCCCTTGGTACCTCCACAAGCTTCTTGTCAAGTATCGGCAAGAAGAAGCGTGAGGCTGTTAATGAAAATGCCTTTGCTTGCAATAAAGCATGTGAAGAAGCAGAACTATTTCTCTTACTATCAGATGCCTGAGTTCCAAAAACCCGAGTTTCTTCTGATGACAGAACATCCAGTTTATGAGCAGCTAATGCAGCAAATTCACCGTGGACATAGTGATTCACATATGCCTGAGGCTTATATTGGGAGCCCATATAAACATAACTAATAGCCGACTTGACATCACCCTTCACACTTCCGTGACCCAAAAGACCATTTTGGCTTTGATGAGACAGATTCAATGAAATTGAGGCATTGGCACTCCCAGTATGACTAAAAATTTTGTTTGCTGAAGTACTTGAAATGCCTGTTGTGCTGGAAATACCAACCATATCTAGGCAAGCTAAGTCAGTTGAATTCTCTGGCCTGCTAATTGAACAATTAGAAGAAAGAGAGTCCACATTAATGCCATTTCTTAGCACGTTTTTTCCTACATACTCAGCTGACATTGTTCCATAATTAGTTGGAATTGCAAGCGGGTTCCTTGAAATTTCCACGTGCAAGGTGCCTTCTTCACTTTTGCATGTAGCCAAGTTTTTTCCATTCTCAACCACATCAAGCTCCTTATGTTCTTCTTCACCAGAAGAACGTGATCCAGCATAGAAGCTGGCATCTTTCCTCAGATTTGCAGGAAGTATATCAATTCCACTTGTTTCAGGAAGAATTAGGAGATTTTCTGGGATGTCCCAATATTGCATAATGGCCTTACAGATGCCATAGTATGTAGCAATATATTGGGAGGAAGAACAAAGAACATGAAGTACATTTAGAATGTCATTTTGATTATAATATTTGAGACATGGTTCAGAGTTGATAGAAGTCTTGAGCCTGCAATTATCAATATATAAAGGTCAGGGAAAATCTGACAAAAAAATTAAATAGCATAAAATCGAAATTAAGACGAGCAAAGCAAAGCATGAAAAAGCCATAAGGGTCCGATGCATAGAGCTTAAAAGAAGCCTAAATAAAAATGTTGTAACATACACCACCAAGTGGTTGCAACTACCCAAGAAAATGTGCCCATGTGGATCAGTGCCAAAAACTTCTGCTCCTCTGAGTGATGATCCCTTTGTTATAGTTGTTTCTCTCTTATCTATACTGCATTCGGGACAATACCATGGCCCTTGAGGTATAAGTATCTTCACCATGCCTATACATCTCAAATGGTATGCTGATGGGCACCCATCACAACATAGCAAACTCCCATCCATCTCACAGAGTCGACACTCATCACTGTTTCTGTTCGCATCAACAGCAGTGGCATCCAAGTCACCATTAGTACCACCTTTTAAACCCAAAAAATTTTGGTCTGTATAAGACTTCGCCTCATTATTCTCTACAATAATCTCCATAGCTTTCCCATCCTTGCAAGCAGAAGTTTTGGGGTATCTGGGATGAACCCTCCTAGGCCCATTTTCAGACAGACATGTAGCTCCAGCATCATAATCCAGTCCAACTTCGGATACCTCACGCGTGTCAATTTCTGCTCTAAGCTCTCCAGACACCAATATTTCATCACAAAGAATTTGTAGAACCATAAGCTTTCGACCAGCAGGAATGGAGTAATATTCATTGCCTAAAGCATGCTTGTAAAATCCATTCCATTCCAGCCCTTTTGCATGTCCCATAACAATTAGATATTGGACCAAATAAACAGGCCAAGTAAGAGAATCTAGTAAGTTCCAATTAAAGTGCCTGCAGAAAACCGTTGTAAAATGATTTAGAATATTCACACCATTAGAACTTAATATAAATCATCTCCACTTGTTGCACGCATCATATTTCTAAAATAAATCTGACACTTCCCCAAACCCACAATTAAAAAAAAAATCTAAGTTGAGCTGTACATAAAGTTTTCAGCATGCACAATGTGTTGCCTTTATTCATAAACTCAATACGTAATGGCCATAGGTGTCCAAGGCTTAAACTAATGTTAACGAAAATTGGTTAGACAAGATTAGATGTTCAAAAACTTGATATTCAATATCCTCTATGACCACGATGGTTTAACTATTTAACTTTGCCTCCTTGATGTTTGAGACAATACGTGAAGGAGGCAAAGCTAAATGGTTAAACCATTGTGGTCATATAGGATATTGAGTCAGTTTTTCAAACATCTAATATTGTCTGACCAAGTATATATATGGGGTGGTATTATATTCAAACCCACAAAAAAGGTAACGAAATGTTTTCTTTGTTTGTTAGCACCCATAAAAAAATATACACATAGTCGAACAGAGTATAACAAAAAATTGAGAATATAGCAGAATCCATCACAGTACATCCCACCCCCGACATTCATTCAAATCAAGTCCGTGACAAATAGACTATCAAATAAGAGACTGATGTGCATGTATATATTTACAACATGGAGACCGAAGGATTTCGTAACATGTTGTCTGTGAAGAGAGACCTACATTCATCATAAATTAGAGGAGTTTCAAATTAGAATTTCAAATATCAGCTGTCTAAGTAGAAAAAAATATTTTGATGAACCAAAATGTTCTGGATTAATATCCTTCGGGAAGAAAAGATAAGCAAACCAGAATTAGAAAGCACCTTAAGCATTTGGACGCGATTTCTAAGCCATCTGAAGAAAGACCTTCCAGATGCCGGCGTAAGGCACGCATCAGAGCAACATGAATGGAGTCCAACAATGTGTTAGCTACATCACAATTAAGTGATCCCACAAAATCATCCAAACTGAATGGAAACAGGAATAAGCGAGAACTAAATGAGCGTAGGAAACCATAGACTGATAAAAGATGTGAAACGTGCTCTTCTTGGACCCCAATGGTTCCAGAGGATGGCGGAAACTCTGGTGCTGGGATAAGCAGATTTTCATCTTCAAATTCACAATCCCAGTCCCGAACGGACTGGAGTGAATCACTGGAAGAATCGACGACAGCTTCTACTTCTCCAGCATCATTTTCAATTATATGCTCACACCTTAACTTGCTCGGTGCAGATGCAACAGAATTCAATTTTTCAGTGGTTTTCGTCATGTTCTTCCCCGTCACCTTTGTCCTCTTCGCATTAAACCTAACTGCTAAGTCATCCAAACGCTTCTTTCTCTTACTCAACCCATTGTCAAAATAAGGATCGCCAATTAGCAACCCCCGAATTTCCCCACTCTCTAAATCCTCACTGTCGCCATCCTCGTAGACTACTCTGTATAGTCCTTCCTCGTAATATACTACTTTTCCAAGAAACTTTCCACTGCCCTTGAACTCTTTCAGCAGATATCGTCCCACTAAGGCCACGGGGCGCGATACAAGAGTCCGCTTGCACGATTCAAGAGCCGAATTTGCATCATCATTACCGTCTTGAAGGTCATTGTTTCTCCTTTTCCTCGGTCGACCCCTCGATCTTACTACCGTAGGTTCCATTGAAGTATTCAACAAAAACAAAAATCGAAACCTAAATCCAGAAATATCTAGGGTTTCAAAAACTGTCTCCAACAGGAATATTGCATTGGAGAGTCATTCAAATCCAGGAAGAATTAAGAAAGACCTGCAAAAAACTGAACAAACTCACATTCGACGAACGAACGATAAGTGGGCTTTGCAGATTCGAGAAGTTCCAAGGTTCGAGGAGTAAATTCAGATTTTCAATCCTTACGTTTCGGAAAACAAGAAATAATGCATTAGATAAACTGATGGCTTGAGAGCAAACGATAGAACAATGTTGGTACTAGGGTTTCATAACCGCCATTGGTAATGGCTCTGGGACCTCTCGAGAGAAGAGAGAGGGGGCGGTAAGGAGACCCACCCAAAAGATTTAATTAGGCATCCACCCTGCTTATCTCGCCTGAACGAGTCGTGACTCGCCCGCACTCACTTGGAATTATGAAATTCAAAATTACATCAAATATAGAAAAAAATATTAATTTTAATTCTCCCTATATTTTACCAAATAACTGAATTTTATTTCAAAAGTATCTATAAACTTTCCCAAAAATAATAATAATAATAATAAATTAAACTTTCCGAAAAATAATAATAATAATAATAATTAATAAATATTCCCCTTCTTTTTTTTTTTTTAAATCATTAGTAATTTATTTCATAGATATGGACTAATAGTAATATTCTAAATTTTCAAAAATTTATTTCTATTTAAAATTAGTAATTATTTCACAAAAATTATTTATCTAAACTCGATTATTTCCATATTCCATTTCTTTCCTTTTCTTTTTGAACTAAATAAGCTTATTGAACGTTAAAAAATATTTTTTTAATTATTTTAAAATCTAAAGCATTTTTTAAATATGATAGTATTTATGTAGCTCGATAACCTAAATAACAAAAAATTCCGAACCCAAAATGTAAGGTTAGGTTGAGGATGATTTTTTTTAGTGGGTTTAGTTAGATTTTTTTAAATAAAAAATTTGGTTCGAATTGCAAGTTAAAACTTTATTGATTGGGCAACCTCACCCCATCTATAACGCCCAAAATCCACTACTAGCAGATATGGTTCTCTTTGGGTTTTTCCTTTCGAGCTTCCCCTCGAGCTTTAAAATGCGTTTGGTAGGGGAAGGAGAACAAACCACCATTTATAAGGGAAAGCCCAAAGAGAACTAGCGGTGGATCTGAATCGTTACACCATCGGCTCGAAAATAAGGTTTTTCAATTCCGTCTACCCTCATCCTTCTTTATGCAATAAAATTAATTAGAATGGAATAAAGTGACAATTTAAATTGTTATGTATATAAATAAATAAATAAATGGTGAAATTGAAATGTTTTATTTTGCATTTTTAATAATTTAGCAAAAGAAAAAAAAAACAATTGGTGGAATATAAAAATGATATTTTTATTCATAAAAACTGGAGTGTGGAAGTGGAATTTTGAAGAGTTAAATTGAACTAAGGAAAGCAAATTTTAAGTTAAATTCTATTTTTTCTTTATTGAAAATTGCAAAATTTTGACTAAAAATCTTGCTTTAAAAAAAACATGGACTCAATATTATATCATTTATTTGCTAAATACGTATTAGTAACTGAATTTGCCGCAGATAATTTGTTTTTAACCTAGAAAAAATTCTCTCTCAAAAAAAAAAAAAAAAAAAAAAAAAAAAAAAAAAAAAAAAAAAAAAAAAAAAAAAAAAAAAAAAAAAAAAAAAAAAAAAAAAAAAAAAAAAAAAAAAAAAAAAAAAAAAAAACCTAGAAATTCTTGGAGCGGATTCGGGTTCATTTGGGGTTATTAGCGGTTAGTGTTCTCAATGTCCAACAATCGCCTGGCATTCGAACTCTCGATCTTCTAAATGTAAGCAAAGATTCACTTTTGATTTCTGGGTCCGATGCGTTTTGTCCACGGATTTGGTTGATTCAATCGTTCCATACGGCCCAAGCTGTTGTGCTTACTAGCTCTACTCCTTTTTTGTTGAGAATTTCGTTCCATTTGGTTCAGATATCATTGAAATCTAGGTTTGATTTTTCAAATTAGCTGGTGGACACGTTGCCTTCCACACCGCTTTAGCTCTGAAGTACCTTCAACACTGGTAAATAGTTGTGTGAAGCTTTATGAATATGTAGTTTGATTTTGTTTTGGATGTTTTAGTCTTCAAAGCTTCTACCATTGATTGGTGTTAGTAATAAAGTTTTCTGAGGATTATGCACTGTATTTTAATGTCGTATGGAGCTTGCAGCCTCTCTTTACACTGTAATTTCCACTACAAGAGTAGTGCCAGGTTCATGAATTCTGATATTTAATCTTACTGAGAGGGATTCTTCTGATGATCTATACTCATCTGTTAGGAACATGTTCTCCATCTTTTGGTTGTCCCATCGAATTAGGATGATTCCGTTTGTTGGGACTTGTTCTGTTGTATGCCTCGTATTATTTCTTTTCTTTTCTTTTAATAAATGCACGATTTGTTAGTTTTTTTTAAGCTTTTGGTTGTCCCATTGATCAGAGACTAGCAAGTCATGGTTCTCAGTTAGAGGGGTGATAAACTTGAACGTCGAAATCCTCAGGCTCCGGTTTTCCTGGAACTCGATATAATTCCCTGAACACACTGTTTCCCTCATCCTTTTGAGAGCTAGTTTTTGTCCCCAAATAAGACTCCGCCCAAAGTAGGATGGGTCATTTCTTAATTTCGACAATATCTTGTGGAAGTAGTTTGGATTCCAAGAGGTGTGGGTTGGTCTCCACACCAACTTCGCAAGTTAGGCTTTATTGAATCAGTCCATACCCCTGAATTTGAAATCTCCTTTTCCCACTCTCTCCAATGCATTTTTCCTAGATTGTTCCCAGGATTCCCTCCAAAATATTGTAAAGGCCTCCGTTAATTCAGAACAGAATTGACTTGGCAGCTTGAAACAATTCAAGAGTTTCGCTTTCCAACTTTGGATAGATTTCCATATCCTTTCCTTTATATATTCAAGGTTTTCTCATTCTTTCTTTGAGAGAGGAACTGAAAACCCCAAATACTTATCAAGGTGAGTCTTTAGCTTTACCCCAAACAGCCTTTGGAGGCTGGTCTTTATATTGTCATTAACATTTGGCAGCACGAATAATGCATACTATGTAAGGTTCACGCTCTGTTCAGATGCTCTTTCACATTCTTTAAGGATTGAGATTATGGCAAAACTTTCAGGTGCTGAGATCTTGAAGGAAAATAGACTATCGCCCGCACAAGAAAAAGGCGAGAGATGGGGAGGCCAGTCTAGACATATAAATTCTGCTAATGGTTCTCCTGATTGTAGCTTCTTGTAGCATCAATGACAAATCCTCAAAACATAACAGGAAAAGATAGGGTGATAGAGAGTCACCTTGTTGGATTTCTTTGTTTGGATATATACATCCCTTTGCTTTTCTATATATAAGGATTGAGCCTTTTACTAATGAGATGCAATCCATTATTCAACCCAACAAATACATATATCCCATTCTTGCTTCTAAACTACATAGAATTGCAAAGAAACTTAGCCATTGGCTAAAGAAAGCACAAATGCTCCTTTTACTACATTTTTCAAGTCTATCTGACAAAGATAACATACATGGCTTTATATAGCCTCCAAAATAAAACCCTTGACCTTCCATTAGGCATTTCAAGAGTTGTAACATTCATACTTTATGGCCATAATTAACCATTGTGTAATTGTAATAAATAAAAAGTCCTAAAATGCATTAATGCAACATCATAACTCTAAATTATGATCCACCCAAAATTTATAACCATAAAACTTGATTCTTCTTCAATTTGACATGAATTGAAACATCTTTTAATAATTTTGACAACATTTTCTTCACATCTTCATTGAAGTATATTGTATGATTGATGTCTCTTGGTTCATATCAAAATATCTAGTCCAATCAAATTAGTTGGGTACATATAAGGGAGGCTAGTTTTCCATTCATTTCCTCATTCAATCTCAACTCCATATGCCCCATTACTTGCTCAATGTCGTATGCAAAAGGGATAGAGGATTTAAAAGTAGATTGGAAGTGTTGGATGATAGTGCCTACAATGGCAACATCATCCTCTTTACCAAGTGCTTGTCTCATCATAGATTTTTGTTATCTCATTTTTCTTTTGTTGCATGTTAGCTTTAGTATGAAATCATTTTGTTCCTTCTTGTCTCCCCAAATAACCAAGTCTCATATTCTGTTCCCCGCCATTTTTTCTCTTTGATTTTGCTGTGGGAAATATGATTCTACACTTCCTATCTTTCACAATACAAATTGGGAATTCTATCAACCATAGTTTTTTTTTTTTTTTTAATCAGATTCTGATCTTAATTACGATACTCATTGCCAAATTCCCACCTTTTTGTGACATTAGAATTGTGTTTACTCTTAAGGAATTTTGGGTATTTATCCTCTTTTCTTCTTCCAAATACTTGCTACATTTTTTTAGTCCAACTTCTTGTTTGTTGCTGCATTTTGTGTAAAGAGCGTTGCCTAATTTTATTCCATCTTTGCCTATTTGCTTGGTTGAGTTGCTTACGGGAAAATCATTGCCCCCGTTGTTTTCATGTAGGTGTTGCCTGCTGTTTTGGCTGATGATAATTTTCGTTGTTAGCGAAAGCTTACATAGGCAAGAAAATTGTCGCGCATTTACTTTGGCAACCTAGAAAATCTGAAGGTAAGACCCAAACTGTTTATTCTACCGTTTTCCTTAACTCTATTCCCCTGTTTCTCTGATTGAGGATAGTGGCTTGGCTGTGTTGTTGAAGTTGACACCTTCAAGTGTCCATGCCTTGAAATACGAGACCTTGTTTTACCTAATTCTATTCCCCCGTTTCTCTAGTTGTGGATAGTGGGTTGGTGGTGTTCTTAAAGTTGCCGCAACCTTTTGGTGTCCATGCCTTGTAATACGAGATCTGTCATAAAGTTTGTATTTGCTTTGGTCTCCAAAGGAGGACCCCCCCGGTGTGTGACTTTTCTCTTTAATATGTAGATAAACAAAATAATATTACTATGTTAATATTTTGTCCCGCTATGATGGGTGTACTTATTTTTTTCGTTCTTCCTTTCTTTCACCCATCAAATTTATTTGATATTTTACTATATTAGGTATCAAGAAACTTGTAGAAGAATATTTTATATATTAAATAGACGATGACCCAAATTCAAACTTACAGACCTATAAGACATCTGGTGTATGATTTGCTCCTTTTCTAGATTAGGTTTTATCAATTAGTAAGTTCTTCATATGATAGACCCCAAGTCACCACATTGCATACACATAAGAGAAAAAGGAAGGTAGGGGAACCGAGGGATACAGTAGTTGAGGACTGAGGAATATGATTATGCAATTTGGTGGGCTGCATGTGGTGATTCT